TGTTGGAAGATTTGATATAACTTTCATCGGTGTTGATTTGACCACCCAAGAAATTAAACGATAAATGGGGATGAACTTCCTGGCACACTGGATCTCCGACTCCGGAAACTGGACTGGCTTATATATATATATATATATATATATAGCCCATTAGACCGAAACAATTGGGCTTACTGTGTATGAGGTGTTTAATTATTATTCAGGAGAGTTTAATTTATACATGATATTTACAGATAATTTAATTATTTGTATTTAACATTGTAATTGACTTACGCTTTATTTATAAAATATGCATATTATAAATGAGAATATAACTATTATAATAAAAATGACTACGTTATTTTGATTACGTCGGAACTCAATTATGAACATAGAAAAGAAGAAATTCACGAATACACGAATGAATATATCAATATACATGGTTTTAAATTTTATAAAATTATTAAAAATGTATAAGTTCATTGATTAATAATTTATTAAGGTTGACATCTAACAACATTCATCAACAATCGGATAATATAAAATGTACAATTACCTTAAAAAAACTGCTAAAAAAATATGTAATATTTCATTCCGTCATTATTACTCCGGATTAACCATAGGATATGGTCTAACTATCAAATTCTAATAATTAACCAATTATAGTTCATGTCAATTATAATTGATTAATGAATAACATAAGAAACTATTTTCTTTATTCATTCAACTGCTCTGTCTAAAGTCTTAATTTAGTCATTATAATAAATAACAACATAGAGTTTAAACTTATTACCGAAGTTGACAGATTTCGTTATTAATTCTACAGGTATTTAATCACACTCAATATCCTTTCAACTATAGTTTTATGACTATAGGTGTCTATAATCAAAGTATAATAAATGATTTATCAATTATTATGATGATATCAAATTTAAAGAAATTCTTACATCTAATTAAAATCAGAGAATATTTTATTAACAGTTTAATATAATATTAACAATTAAAAATTCTCAATTGAATCAATTCAATGATCATATCTCTCAATATGCATAATTTATATATGTGATTTAGTTAATGAGATCAATTAATCTTTCTCTTATAGAGACCATTACATATATATTAATCTTACCGAATCATTAATGATCAAATGATTAAGAATATTTTAAGTTAAATCATAAAATATTTTATTCTTGTTATTAAAATTCACATTTTGATGTAAAATATATAAATTTAATTAAAAAATTTATCACATAAATTAAATGATATGATAATAAAATACTATTAATATATTTTAAAATAA